ATTTGTTTTAGTACTTTTCTACCCACCTATTTTCCGAAGAGCTCAGGATAGGCTGCACTTTACTCTAACAATGTATACCTGAGATAACTTTGGCTTAGGGAAACGGATTGGGTCACAGTCACCCATTCAACTTGGTGCCAGAGTGGAGATTTCAACTTGGATCACCCAGACCCTCGTCTGACAGTCCAGCCTCTATGTCATGCAGGCTGCTAATGAAAAGTGACCTTGAACAAGTATCAAGTGCGTTTCTGTCACTGTTAAGCAGCCAACTCCCCATGTACACACACTAATGCTTGGAGATGTGGACAGAAGACTTCTCCAAATCAGACATTTCCAGTCTGGGGTCCTGATGTCTTCCTTGGAAATTAAGTAGAGGTTGCCGGGCTACTCTGTGAGAAGAGGGGACCACAGTAGGAGATCGGGAAGGACGATCTTGGCTTTTAGCCTTCTAATTCCCTTTTTCGAGCGAAAGAGCTTGAGGTGGCAGGTGGAGAAGGCAGTGGGGGATTAGTAGCAGTGGTGAAAACTGCATGGAAACCCACAAGATGTTAAGGGTGGGGGAGAGGGAAGATTTTAACTTGAAAGCAGCTGGTAAGGGGGAGGATGGGCGGGAGAGGGCAAAAAAGGTTTGACTGGCATTTGGAAGGAAGGGCTGTGAAGCATTTTGGAGTGTCTGCTGTAGGAGAGGAGTGGGTTGGTCTGCCAGGTGTTTAATAAGAACATAAGAGACGCCAATGTTGGATCAGGCCAATGTTGGATCAGGCCAAAGGCCCATCCAGTCCAACACTCCTTTTTACCTTTTACAGCTTCCATTACTTTGTTTGTTACCCATGCGGGCTTTTTCCTATACCTGTTTGTGCCTTTCCTAACCTGTGGAATATATATTTTTTGAGCTTCTAGTATCGTAGTTTTAAATAGTTTCCAAGCTTCCCCAATGGTTTTGACCCTTTCTACTTTTCCTTTTAATTTCCTCCCCACATGTCCCCTCATATCAGAGAAGTCACCCCTTTTAAAGTTAAAAGTGGTTGTGTCAGTCTTTTTGGCCAATTTCCTATTTATACAAATGTTGAACTCAGCAACATTATGATCACTGTTCCCAAGCGGTTTGGCAATCAGGTGTGTTTTTCTTCCTGTTGTTAACAAAGGCATGTGAAACTTGGGAACTCCGGCTTGCCTGTTTCACATCAGGAGCAGGTTAGCCTGACATCACGTTGACACTGAAAAGAATTTAAATACCACATTGAGCTCAAAGATCGGGCTTGTTTTGTTACGATTGACATGGGTGACCAAAGCTTCCCCAAACGTCCCCTCGAGTTTTTTATCTGGCCACCCCCCCCCCCATCCTTGAAGTCATTTGCTCTTTCTGCCTTGGGCTTGTCTGTCATTATTCACTGGGAAGGGGGTTTAAAGAGGAGGGTAAGGACTGAGTTGTGGAAGAATGGGAAGTGGGCTTGTGAAACAGCTGTGAGTGAATCGAGATGGTGTTCTGCCAGGTGGCAGTTTACCTTACTGCCATGTTGTGATAGCCAAGCAGGGGTTTTCCTTATTTATTTTTTAATTTATATTTAGATTTCTGGGCCACCCTCCCTGCAAGCGGGCTCAGGGCAGCTAACATCCAGGCACGCATGCCAAATACATAAAAACAAGATAAAACACATAAATTACAAATAAAGTGCTTGAAGATGGTTGCAGGTGGTAGTCTTCAGTTTAAAGATGGTATCCAAAGGATATTCAGTCAGATACCAGCTCAGTGGTATTCGCACGCCATAGTGCTGCAGTTCGATCTTCACAGGGGCGTTCCCATACCCTGCTGTTTCCTGCATGTGCTGTGGGAAATTTGCCTTTTAACAACGAACGGGAATTAACTGTTATGTAATAGAAAAGAGCAAGAGTTCAGTAGCACCTTAAAGACTAACAAAATCTTCAGACTCACCAAAGCTCCTCCCCTGCCACAAATTTTGTTAGTCCTTAAGGTGCTACTGGACTCTTGCACCTTTCTGCTGTTGCAGACAGACTTAACAAGGCTACCCATCTTCTTTTTTGTATTTTTTAATATGTGTGTGTGCGTGCGTGCACCTGGAAGTCATGGCGACCTCTGGTGATTGACTCCTACAGGGGGCCTGGAGGATATTCAGAGAGGCGGCTGAATAAAGCCTGCCCCTGCCTCCTGACAGCTGGTATTCCAAGGAGGTCTCCCATCCAAGTACTTGCCAGAGTCGACGATCTGACGAGATCGGGCTTGTCACGGCATCCAGGTCAGGGCTGACATCTTGATCTTCATTCTTATGTGTAATTGTAGAAGGACAAGGTGTAGAAAATATCCAGGGCTGTTGGGGATAGGGCATGGAAAAGAATGTTAATGTTTGGTAGCAACGGCAAGACAGTTGGCTGGCATGTTTATGTCCCGGCTTTAAGTGGCTATAGTTTCCTAAAGTGCTACTGATTTCCCCCTTGGGATCACTTGAATTCCTTTCAGCATTGGGTTTATCTGTCAGAATTTATTTTTAAAAAGTGTCCTCCTGAATAGGTTTCTGTTCATACTGAAGCAGCCACAGATTTCTGAAAAAAAGGCTTCTGCTGTTCCATCAGATGAAGTTTCACAACACTATCGGAGCTAATCTTGTTGTAGAAAGCGGCATGGGGAGGCGCCGTGACCGTTGGCTGCATTTGCCTTGAAAGCCGTCTCCTCAAATCCTCTTCCTTTAACACCTCAAATCCTCTTCCTTTAACACATACCCATACTTGGGCAGCTGTACAGCGTGCCGATCTTTGTTCATCCGTGTGGAGGAATTGGCATTGTATTGAATTTTAATTTTTTTTGCACTACATATACAGCCAGTTGCCTATCTGAAATGCCCATTTACATGCTGAAAAACATTGGATACCTAGTTTGTTGCACTGTGTGCATGTGGTCCTGGTGCGCAGAATAAGGTGGCAGGATCCTAAGGTGGAGGAATGAAGTCAGTTGTCAGAGGAATAGGTGTTGCTGTTGTTGGAGGAATAGGCATTGCTGGTCTCTCTGCTTCTTGTGATAGAGGCAAAAACCCAACCCACGTAAGCAGAAAATTGGCACAGCAGGAAATGGGTTAAGTTGTATTTTTCTCTCTCTGTTGTGCTGGTTTTTACTTACAGAGAGGGTTTTTTTTTTTTTTAACCTGGAGGTGCCTTCCAAAATGGTACCTTCCAGCTGTAGACTGTAGTGGTACAGTCCTTTCTTCTTACGCTGCTTGTGTCGATCATTCCTGTACTTTCTGTATGGAAGACTGTTGAGACACTGTGTGGTGCAACGTCCCGGTTCCAGGCGGCCCAGGGAGACGCAGCTCTTCCTTCAGTTGCAGGCCGTTGGAGGCAGCGTGTTGTAACTGAACGTGTTTAAGGCCCTCCAGCTCTGGGACAGCTGCAGGCAGGATTTAGAGCAACTGCAATTAAACAACAGATTGGTTGGAAATGGAATTCTGAAGATCGCTCGCTGGAGCAGCTCCAAGTACCCGCTCCGATCTCTCTGTGAGATGGCTCGGTGTTTGCTTTTCGTGCAGTTGTGCACTGCCAATTAATCTGTGAAGCCGAACCCGATAGAATTTCTGCCTTTGCAATAAACGTTTCCTGTACATGTCTCTGCCCCCCATAGGACTGGTTCCTTCGGTTGCCCTTTGCCTGTCTACTAGCTCTAATTGACACCTCATTGATAAGACATGCTCATTTGAGAACACTGGCCTCGGGATTGGTTCAGGATTAAGAGAAGAGTGACCCTGCTGGTTCAGACTAGTGGGTCTGTTTTATCTGACATCTTGTTACACACAGTGGTCAACCAGGTTCCCCTGGAAAAGCATACGAGCCCATCACGGAGGAAAGCCCAAGCTTCTCCTTTTGTTCCCCTCAACGCTGACGTTCAGAAGTAGACTGCATCTGAGCATGGAGGCTCTATTTATTTTTCAAGTTTACTAGCCATTGGTGGACATGTCTTCCATGAATTTGTCTAATCCCATTTTAAAATCAGCTAAACTAGTGGTCATTACCGTATCCCCCAAGGCAGTGAATTCTACAAGTCAATTTCTTTGTGACAAAGCACTTCCTTTTGTCTGTCCTGAATTTGGGCGTCCAGGAGAACTAGTATTACTTTTTTGCACCGTTGGCTTGGCAGCCAACATACCGCTTCCCCGTAGGGTTTCCAAGGCAAGAGACGTTCAGAGGAACTTTGCCGTTGTCAGCCCCTGCGTAGCAACCCTGGACTTCCTTGGTTGTCTCATGTCCAAATACAAACCAGGGCCGACCCTGCTTGGCTTCGGAGATCTGCTGAGATCGGGCTATCCTGGGCTATCCAGGTTGGAGCACCTTTCTCCATTTCCTTCTCCCCAGTCGTAATTTTATGAACTTGTATCATGTCCTATGTTGGTTGCATTTTCTTTAGGAGGGGGAGAAACACATGGTAGAGATTTATTTTTTAAAAAATCCGGTTTTAGGGTTGACCTTTCCCCAAATCTTAGAGCCTCAGTTGGGGGGTCACTCATGGTACACTCTCTGGGGAAGGAAGCTGCAGTCCAAGGAGGCAGCAAGGAGATGCTAAAGTTCTGGCCCAAGAGGTTCTAGGACTTCCAGTAGCTCGCATTCTTGGTCACTTTGGCAGGGGAAGGCCAAAACGACCTCCCTCCGTGCTGTGGAAAGGTTTCCGGTGACTCAGCTGGCCACAAAAACCATTCCTTCTGCATCCTGCTCTTGTCTTTAGGTTGGTAGCTCTGGGGCCAAGCGGGCACTCCCCCTGTGCCTGACCTTTCCCTGGGCTTCCAACCAATGCTCCCTCCTCCCTCCTTTAAGCGGAGTCTCGTGAGCAAAAATTCTACTTTGTAAGTTCCTGGCCTTAAACGTGTGAGCGAGCGATTTGGCTGATGCATAAATCAATCTGCTCTGGAGCCATCCTTCCCGAGCTGAGACAAAAATGTGTGAGCCAGAGGCTAAAGAACTGTGAGCTGGCTCACACTGACTCAGCTTAGAGGGAGCACTGCATGTCAGATTCTGAGGCTGAAAAGCCAGTGCGGGTTAGACACAGATCAGGGCAACTGAAGTCCTGCCTCTTCTCTTGGCTCAGTGCATCTCCTTGGGTGAGTCGTGTCGCAGGCTCTGTGGCTGTGAAAAGGGATTAACCGAGGTCTGTTTCGCTGAAGTTGTGTGGGAGGACTGGCGGACTATCAAGTGCTGTGGGAAAGGAGCTCGGAAGGTGAGAGTAACGGCTCCCCTACTCTTTCTTCCAGATAACAGGCCCTGATAACAAGGGGATCTACAAGGGAGACCGGGAGTCCAGCGGGAAATACACCTTTGCCGCTCACATGGACGGGACGTACAAGTTCTGCTTCAGCAACCGGATGTCCACCATGACTCCAAAGATAGTGATGTTCACTATCGACATCGGTGAAGCTCCAAAAGGGCAAGATATGGAGACAGAAGGTGAGGCCGTGCCACTCGACAGGCTCTTTTTGCGTATCCAGCTCTGAACAAGGCAGTGTAAATGGACCGGGAGGTTACGTTTCCTTTCAGCTACGGCTCTGAAATATGGGACTAGTAGAGCTCTAGATCCTAAGCAGCTTTATAGTGAAACATTAAATCCGAAGAGTTTTCGGCTAAATATAGGGAAGAACTTCCTGACAGTTACAGCGGTTCCTCGGTGGAACGGGCTTCCTCAGGAGGTGGTGGGCTCTCCTCCTTTGGAGGTTTTCAGAGGCTAGATGGCCATCTGACAGCAATGCTGATTCTGTGAACTTAGGCAGACCATGAGAGGGAGGGCAGGAAGGGTGGCATCAGTGCTTAATTCTCGTGGCCCTTTCTTACACGCCCGGGGAAATGCCGATTGCCACTTTGGGCTCAGGAAGCAATTGTTCTTCAGGCCATTTTGGCCAGGGATCCTGGAAGATCCCCCCCCCCCTTCTGTGCATAGAGCGGAGGTCACTGAGGGTGTGTGGGGGGAGGTAGTTGTGAACTTCCTGCATTGCGCAGGGGGTTGGACTAGATGACCCTGGAGGTCCCTTCCACCTCTACAATTTTATGATTTGGGCAGGGTTTTAGGAGTTGGCCATATAAACTTTCAGACCTCTGCGAAGCTGGCTTCTAAATGTTGATGGGCCTATCATTTAAACTAGGTTAACCGGATATCTTCATCTGACAGCGTGGGTTCCCCCCCCCCCATACCTGTTCCTACAGCTGTGGCCCCCACCCCATCTGCCTCTGCACGTCTTCCAGCAAGTTCTGAACCGGAATGGGCAGGGTCACCTGTCTGCAGCTGGCCAGCCTCTTTTTCCTGGCTTCTTCTTAACTAAAATATAGGGGGGGTCCCCCTTGCTGCTGTGGCAGGTGTGGACCACATTGCAGTGCTTCATATCCTGGCCTTGGCTGCAGCGATCTGTTTGCCCACCTGCCATCTTTCTGTAGCTGCCAGGGCTCCCGTTTTCCTCTGCAGCAGATCACGGCGTTGATTTGAGAAAGGAAGCATCACGCATCTTAGTTCCCGGGCCAGGATGTTGCTTTCTTGGGAGATTTCAAGCGGCAGGAGCTGCCTGGCACCCTTTCCTGCAATTTTCAGCTCAGGTTCAGTGCTTTCCACCGGCTGCTCCGGCAGATCAAACACCCTAGGCGGCTTCCAGGTGGAAAAGATTGGCCCTGTATGAGTGACGCATTTCGCTTGTTGCTCCATATTACTTGCTCATTTCTTATGCTTTTCTCTAGGTGGTGGAGATACCTGGGATGGTACGTGTAATGCTCTGCAGGTGCTTGTGATGAATTTGCTAATGGCTACCTGTGTGTGTGTGGTTTTTGCTAACATGAGTTAATTAGCATGGCAGTGTCCTACCCAGACAAGAAATACCCGAGTGACAACAGCCCCTTTTAACTTCAGGTCCCTAAAATGTCAGCATCCAGAGCTGCTTTGGTGGAATTTCAACTCCCCCACCCCCGTGAGCAGCCCACGCTATGCATCACACTGATTTGGAAATTCCCTTCCATTTCATAGTTTTTAATTTAGAATTGAGCTAGTTTGGTGTATTGGTTAAGTGCGCGGACTCTAATCTGGGAGAACCGGGTTTGATTCCCACACTCCTCCACTTGCACCTGCTGGTGTGCCCTTGGGTCAGTCACAAGTTTTCTCAGAGCTGTTCTCTCAAGAGCAGTCCTCGAAAGAGCTCTCTCAGCCCCACCTCCCTCACAGGGTGTCTGTTGAGGGGAGAGGAAGGGAAAGGAGTTTGTAAACCGCTCTGAGTGAAGGGCGGGGTATAAATCCAATCTCTTCTCTTCTTTTTCTCTTCTATATGAAAAGTGCAGGTCCAAAGTCCCCTTAAGGAGAAGAGAACAAGATGTATGTTCCTAATCTATGCAGCCAGTTTGGTGTAGTGGTTAAGTGCGCGGACTCTAACCTGGGAGAACCGGGTTTGATTCCCCACTCCTCCACTTGCACCTGCTGGGTGACCTTGGGCAAGCCATAGTTCTGTCAGAGCTGTTCTTGAAAAAGAGCAGTTTCTGTCAAGAGCTCTCTCAGCCCCACCTACCTCACAGGCAGTATTCCCTCTAAGCTGAGTCAGTGTGAGCTAGCTCACAGCTTTTTAGCCTCCGGCTCACACATTTTTGTCTTAGCTCAGGAAGGAGGGCTCCAGAGCCTACTAATTTATGCAGTAGCCAGATCGCTCACTCACAACTTTAATGCCAGTAGCTCACAAAGTAGAATTTTTGCTCACAAGACTACACAGCTTAGAGGGAGCATTGCTCACAGGGTGTCTGTTGTGGGGAGGGGAAGGGAAAGGCGTTTGTAAGCCGCTCTGGGACTCTCTTGGGTAGTGAAGGGCGGGGTATAAATCCAATCTCTTCTTCTATTTAGTACATTTTTATCCTCCTCCTATAAGCTGGCCAGCTTGGTGTAGTGGTTAGGAGCGCTGACTCTAATGTGGGAGAACCAGGTTTGATTGCCCACTCCTCCACATGCAGCTGCTGGTGTGACCTTGGGTCAGTCACAAGTTCTCATTAGAGCTGTTCTCTCAGGAGCAGTCCTCAGAAGAGCTCTCTCAGCCCCACCTACCTCACAGGGTGTCTGTTGTGGGGAGGGGAAGGGAAAGGAGATTGTAAGCAGCTCTGAGACTCCGAGTGAAGGGCGGGGTATAAATCCAATCTCTCCTTCTAATTTGTCTTCACAATAACCCTGTGAGGTAGGGTAGGCTGCGATAGTGACTGGTCAAGAGTCATCTAGTAAGCTTCCATGGCAGTGTGGGGATTCAGATCTGGGTCTCCCAGGACCTACTGTGAAACTAAGCACTGCGTCCCACTGGCTCTCCCGTATCTTGATTGTGGTGCTCAGATTGGAAGCTTTAAGGTGATGTGGCCTGTTGCCAGGAGAGATGCAAGCACCTCCCATACCCTCAACACTTCCCCCTTTTTTCATATTTCTGGAGTCTGAGACAGTCCCGGGGACCTGCCCTAGGAGCCACCACTTGGGAGACCCAGCTAGCCGGATATTGGCCGGCAGTTGAGATCTAGAGCCCTAGGTTGCTCTTTTCCCTGTGCCCTACCAGCCCTCAGTGATACATCGGGAGTCTGCATATCCATCCATCATACACTGGCTTTCTAAAATCACTGTGCGGGAATCACACTCTTACACAAGTGACTGTATATGTATGTGTGTGCGCAAAGGCCCTGGTGTACTTGAAGTGTATGTAAGGCTTTTTTTTTTTAAACTAATGTGTGCCTGCATTGGATTACTTGAGCAGTCCTGCTCACGGTCTTGATGCAAGTGTGAAGACTTTTGTTCTTAACATTTGGTACAAGTCCCCCCTCCCCCTTTTCTAAAAAGAACTCTGCTTTGGTGTGCTTACTGAATATGCAGATAGTGAAGTCGGTTGTGCCCTTGTTTCCCCAGGGGGTGGGCACTGGAGAGGGCGGGTGTGGGTCTTTGCTCCCTAACGTGGTTCTGCCTGAATGGTACGTTACGCAAAGAAAGGAGTTGAAGCGGATATTTCTAACCTGTGCCACGGCTGGCTTGTTTGAGACCTCAGCAGCTCTCTCATTTTGCAACTCCGCATTTGAGTCTGAGGCATGTTCTAGTAGCGTTGGACAGAAAATCCTGCAATTTATGTTTCCTTGTCAGGGCTTCATCCAGATTTTCTCCCTCGGGTTGATTGAGGGATTGGTTACCTGAGCATTACAATGGTTGGTTGGCTTCTTAAACCAACACTCCAAATATGGAAGAACAAAATTAGTTCAGAGATCTTCAGGGACACGGAAAGAGAGCAGATCACACCCGTTTATTTGTATATGATGCCTGCTGCTTTAGAAATGTTGGTTATGTAAAATGCATACCGGCAGAAAAAAACGAGCCAGCCAAATGTATAGCCTTTGTTACCCCGTCTTGGAGTTCTGTTTGTTCCTGTCCTCTTATGTGCCTGGGAGGATGGCCGACAGTTTGGTGTAGTGGTTAAGTGCAGCTGCTGGATGACCTTGGGCAAGCCATAGTTCTGATAAGAGCTGTCCTTGAAAAAGAGCAGTTTCTGTCAGTGCTCTCTCAGCACCACCGACCTGACAAGGGTGTCTGTCATGGTGGAGGGAAGGGAAAGGAGTTTGTAAGCCGCTCTGAGACTCCCTTGGGTAGTGAAGGGTGGGGTATAAATCCAATCTCTTCTTCTTCTTCTTCTCCAAGAATGTTTTTGTTCACCCTCTCCCGAGTTCTTATCGAGAAAGCCTTGTTTCCCTCCGCCACGGAGTACCAGGTGCGAGGTCTCTCAGTGTCTAGAATGTAGCTTTGCTGATGCTATTCTTGACTCATCGCCAGCAATTGGATCAGGGGCGTTGAACTCATTTGCCACGAGGGCCGGATCTGACATAAACGTCACTTTGCCGGGCCGGGCCACGTGTGCCCTAAAATGTAATGCCAGGCACTGGAGGTAGAAACTGCATAAAGGACAGCCGCTGGTAAGCTCCGCGTTGATGTGTCCTGACTGCAAGGCCCCCTGGGCTGGGCGGAGGGTCCAGAAGAAAACCCACATGGGTGGACTGGAGAGGCAGCAGTTGGAGCACTGGGTGGATGCTCCCATGATGCTTGAGTGCTGCGGACACAGTTGTTCTGCCGTGCTGAAGCCACAATGGAGTGTCTTCGCCCACTCCACTCCCCCCCCCAGCACTCCCTCCCGTGCACCAGTTCCTCGTGGGCCACATAGGGGCCCTGGACGGGCCGGTTCTGGCCCCCGGGCCTTGCTTTTGACACCCTTGAATTAGAGTATAAGATATTTAGTTTTAGCTATAGATTCAGGTGGAGTCACGTGTTGGTCTGAAGCAACAGAACAAAGTTTGAGTCCAGGGGCACCTTTAAAACCAACGAAGTTTAATTTTGATTCTAAGCTTTCTTGTATTTCTTCAGACTTTCACATGAAAACTTATACCCAAATTAAACTTCATTGGTCTTAAAGGTGCTGCCGCTGGACTCAAACCTCGTCATAGTTTTAGCTATGCATCTCGTCTCGAGGTCTGGCTAAGTTTCGCGGATGGGAGCTTAGCTTGCTATTTGTGTAAGCTTGATCGTTGCTTCTTAAAATCTCCTTGTAAGCAAACCTGGGTCTTGTATATTGTTTCCTTGGGATTTCTGCGAACCTTGAGCTCCTGGCCGGAGCCCCAAACACCAGAGTGTCAGCTAAAGGATATCTTTACCGTTTTTATTTAAGAGTCCCCAGACATTAGGGTGGGGGTCCCCAACCTTGTTGGACCTGTGGCCACGTTTGGAACTTTGAGAACAGGCTAGTGGACACCCGCAACAAAATGGTTGCCACAAGGGGCAAGAACAGGTACAGAATGATGGATATGGGAGCACAGCCCAATAACCAAAAATTGGGAGGTTCCCCCCAAAAGTCAGGAGGGTGGAAGCGAAGCCTTTCCTGAGGCAGCTGTTTCTGGACGGGTGCTTGCTGCCGGCGTAGCGAATGTGCCTCCTGGGCTCTTTGAAGCGTCTCCTGCTTCCAGGACGTAGAGGAAAGCAGGATTGGCTCTTTGATTTGAGGAAGAAACGCTTTGGGGTAGAAACAAACAGGCACCAAGGGATATGTCAGCGGGCCCTTGCGTGTCGATTAGCGGGAACACAGAATGTAATCGGTACAAAGGAACGTATCTTATAGAACAAACTGTAACAGATGTACCATAATTACCGAAACGATTGTCGTGCTGTGGAAACAGTGTTTAATTTCATCCAAGCTGCCTGAAGAGTATGCAGATGGGAAGAGATACCCAGGCAAGGAAGATCCTGTATACGTGGAAGCCCCCTTTTTTTTCACACACACACACCCCGGGGGGGGGGGGGTATGTCTCTGGCTTTGCAAGCCAGACCTCTCCGGTCCAGTCCCGGGATCTCCAATGAAAAGGATCTCTGTTAGCAAGTGTTGGGTTAAGACGTAGGCAGTGTTCCCTCCAAGCTGAGTTATTGTGAGTCAGCTCACAGTTTTTTAGCTACCAGCTCACACATTTTTGCCTTAGCTCAGGAAGGGATGGCTCCAGAGCAAACCAATTTTTGCAGCAGCCAAATCGCTCGCTCACAACTTTAATGCCAGTCGCTCACAAAGTGGAATGTTTGCTCACAAGACTCCACGGCTTAGAGGGAACATTGGACGTAGGAAAGCCGCTGCCACTCACAGCGGAAGGGTCGTGCGTAGTTCAGTGCATGAGGCACTCAATCTGGATCCCAGACATCCTCGGAATCAGTCCCGTCTCCGGGGGGGGGGGGGGGAGATATTGGTTGACAGGAACGAGGAAAGATTTAATCCAAAAACTGCAGACAGTCAAGCTTAAAGTTGGCCAGACAGACCGTGTCCGTCTGTGGGAGCGGCATACGTTTACGAGCCTTCCAAATTGTGTGGAGCTCAAGCTGGCACTTGTGCGCGCGCGCATGACATGACGGTTTCCTCTGCTCCCACCTGCAGCTCATCAGAACAAGCTAGAAGAGATGATCAACGAATTAGCGGTGGCCATGACAGCCGTCAAGCACGAACAGGAGTACATGGAAGTGCGCGAAAGGATACACAGAGCAAGTAGGTGCCTTGGTTTTGTGCCTTGTGCTCAGTCGCCGCTTGCAGGTGGTTGGCTGGTTTTGGCAAAAAGGTGGGAGAAAGAGCCCCCTTTCGGTTTGAGGGAATCCCTGCTCCCCCTTAGGGCTGTCCTTGATGGCGGGAGACCCGTGGCTAAGCCTCCCCCTGCCTGAAATGGGCTTCTGGAAGTGCGAGCTCCCTCCCCAAGCAGTGCCTGCATCCTCTTGCCTTGGCCCATGACGCCACCGCACCTGATAACTCCCTTCCCCATGTTATCCCCACAACACCCCTGTGAAGTAGGTTAGGTTGAGATAAGTGACTGGCTGAGGGTCACCCACCTAGCCCGCTTTGAGTCAGAGCAGGGATTTGAATGGGTGTGTGTGTCTAGACCGACCCTAACCACAGCCATCCTCCAGTGCGAGAGGCTGTCCGATCCCCCACAGCTATCAGTCCAATACACGTTTAAGCAAAGTAGTATTTTATTGAAGCCATGATAGAACAGGAGCAAGTTCACTGCTTAGAATACCTGAGCCAGGCGGGACGTGGGATAATGAAGCACATTCAAAAACTGACAATAACCAATGGAATTGGTTCCCGCTTACGCGGTTGGACTCTCAGGTTCGCGCCCAAAGCCTGAGAAAGCAACGGTTTCCATAAAGATAAACAGTTAGCACTTCACACGCTCTAGATCATTATAGACTAAGCGAGCCTCCTCTTCTCCGCACCTGTGGCCTTGTAGATACGCTTACACTAGCGTCCATAGAAAGGAATGCATGAGGCAAGCAGACATCCAGTGCACAACAGAATAGGCATGCGCAAATGCCAACAGAGGGATCAGGCATCAGGGTTTTTTTCCCCTCTACTATACACAGATCTCTACGGCAGCTAGCTGACAGAGGCATGGTTTCCACTGGAAGGTCATTGCTCTCAAGTCGCAGCTGACCTGTGACCCTGCAGGGTTTCCAAGTCAGCAGCTGTCCAGAGGTGGTTTGCCATGGCCTCCCTCTGCATAGGGACCCTGGACTTCCTTGTCGGTCTCCCTTGGAAGTAGGAATCAGGGCTGACCCTGCTTAACTTCTGAGAAGATCTGATGAGATCTGGCTAGCCTGGGCCATCCCGGACAGGGACAGATAACTCAGAGCAGTCGACCTACTTCTGCTCTGTAGGGTTTCCGAGGTAAGAGACGAACAGAGGTGGTTTGCCATTGCCTGCCTCTACATAGCAACCCTGGATTTCCCTCGTGGTCTCCCGTCTAGTTTGGTGTAATGGTTAGGAGCGCAGACTCTAATCCGGGAGAACCGGGTTTGAGTTCCCACTCCTCCACACGCAGCTGCTGGGTGACCTTGGGTCAGTCACAAGTTCTCTCGGAGCTGTTCTCTCAAGGGCAGTTCTTGAAAGAGCTCTCTCAGCCCTACCTACCTCACAGGGTGTCTGTTGTGGGGAGGGGAAGGGAAAGGAGATGATAAACTCCTCTGAGACTCCTTTGGGTAGTGAAAGGCGGGGTATAAATCCAATCTCCTCCTCCTCCATTCAAGTATTACCAAAGTCTTAACCCACTTCGCTTTTGGAGTCTGATGAGATTGGGCTAGGCTGGCCTATCCAGATCCAGGGCATCATTGGGATGAAACCGTTTAAAGCAGATTTCGAGAAGATCGGAAATAAATACAGGCCCCAAAGAGCACTTCGGTCGGGGTCACAACACCACCTAGTGACCCCGGGCCCTAAGGAGGCCAGACTTGCTGCCACAAGGGCCAGGTCCTTTTCGGTGGCGGCTCCTACCTGGTGGAACGAGCTCCCGGAGGAGATCAGGGCCCTGCGGGACCTTCTACAGTTCCGCAGGGCCTGCGAGACGGAGCTCTTCCGCCAGGCTTTCGCGTAGGAGCCGCTGCCGCCACTACTACCAACGTACGGGCACAGAGCAGTACCGCCGGGCTGGTGTTGATTGACCGTGGAACATCATGGTCCATGGCATCCTCCTCATGGATCCCAATGTGATGTGCAATAGGGAGTGAGCACATAAATCCCGATGGATCCTGTGAATGTCCATTTGTGTTGAATCGTTTTAACTTGTATTTTATTGCACTGTGTGCCTTAACTGGTTTTAAATTTGTGGTAAACTTGTGGTATTGTATTATATTTGTGTTGTAAGCCGCCCTGAGCCCGCATGCGGGGAGGGCGGGGTATAAATGAAATAAAATAATAAATAAATAAATAAATAAAACCTTGCACATTAAGGCAGCAACAAGTGCAGAATTAAAAAGAAATCCAATCACTGGCAGGTTGGTGTGCAAAAAAGAAACACACACCTGACTGGCGTATCTCTGTGTGCTAAGTGATTTCTTCCCCTTCCTGTTTCCCTTCAACAGTTAACGACAACACGAACAGCCGGGTGGTGCTCTGGTCCTTCTTCGAAGCCCTCGTACTAGTTGCCATGACACTGGGACAGATCTACTATCTGAAGAGGTTTTTTGAAGTCCGGAGAGTGGTTTAATCAAACATTTTGATTTTTCTCTCTCTCTCTCTCCCCTCCTCCTCCTCTCCAGCGATCCCCAGGTTCTCCATTCACTGTCTACCAAGCAACTTGGTCGCAAAACTCGCTTAGTTTTATCCCTGCTTTCTGAACGATAAAGTCCCTTCTTAGTTTAATTTTTTTTAATAAATATATATATACAGATTGGGCGATACGTGCTGAGAGCTTCTCACTGGAATTGGCAGTTGTGTCTCTCACCGAGCCGGTGGGAGTTCAACTAAATTGCGATGGTATTTTTTTTTTAAAGCGGCACTGCGGGTTGTCTTTTAAGCTCTCCCTTGGTTCTTTTTACTTTTTGTAACGAAACGCAGTTTTTGTCTAGGGGCGACGGTAGGTCCTGAAAGAATTGCTTTCGAAACCCTGTGGTAGACTCTTGGCTCCAGTCGAAGGATTTCCTCCCTGCTTGACGTGGGCAGCCGAGAAAGAAAAGGAAAAACAAAAACAGAAAACTGCATTCTGACGTACAGGATCCAGCCAATGGTTTCATTTGGGACACGTGTAGTAGGTTTTTGTAAAACCTCCAGTCCTCTTAACTGTAACGACATTGATTTGTTCGCCACGTTTCTTTTTAATTAAAGAGATGAAGTTGCAGCGCTGTTCCCACCTGTTAACTAACATGGTCTTGAGTTTGCAAATGGGTGAAGGGGGAAGCCTTTGGGGTCAAGTTAATGAAAGAGTTACCGTTCCCCTCCTACTCGTCGCTCACCGATCCAAAGCTCCTCCTGTTTTTAGTGCTACTGAAGAGCTGGGGTTCAGGAGCCCGGTTTCTGATGCCAAATTTGGGGGCCAGGGTGGCGGGAGGCGGGGAGGCACGACTACGCTTTGCAGCCCGTAAGGTAGAGAGCCGTATCCCGTTGTTTGGTTATAGTTAGGATGGCATCCCTCTTTCCTGGGAGAGGCCCCTGTGCCTTTCACATGGCTGGGAGAAACACAACAGGGCCGCAGCTCTTCCCTGGCGGTGTGTCTCCCCAGGAGCCTTTTGTGTGGCGAATAGCAGCACCCCAGGGAGATGTCCAGCAGGTACAGTTTCTCCGGCACCTCCAGGATCAGATTTTCCCACCAGTTGAATTTCTCCAAGCTGCGGTGCCGTTAAATTTTTTTAAAAGCACAGGAGCCTCCTTCGAGAAAGGTGACGTCAAAACCCGATTAGGCTATCTTGAAACAAGCCAATCTATTTCGTGCTTTCTCTCTGTTCAGACACATGCTGGCTTTCAGTTTTTGTACAGACTATTTTTCTCGCTTACCTGTATGATGGGTTTAAAAAAATCGCAGTGTCTGTCGACGGGAGCGGGTGCTGATCCCAAGATTATGTTGTGGCTAATGTATATTGGACTGATGTATATTGGTTGTAATTTGGGGCAGGGGACTGGGTTCTTTTCAAGATCGGGGGGGCGGGCAAAGGGGCATTCTATCGGTTACGCCTAAAAGAGTTTTGTACCAAATTTAATTTAATTAAAATTTGTTACAAGTTTTCACGGTCCAAGTAATCTTTTTCGGCCTTAGGCTGGCAATTTTAACAGCAGTTCTTCAAACTGGAGGGGGGGGGGGGTTATCCCCCCCCCCACCATGACTGTTGTAGGCCAACTCTGTGTGTTGAAACACTTGGAAATTGAACTAGAAGATGTACAAGTGCTTGCGAGTTGAAATAATGGCCAGATTCGGTAAATAAACACCTTCTTTAAAAAGAATGAACTCAATCGGAGCCTGGTGCTTGTCTCGCCTTTGAAAGGGCACTCTCTGCATTCTTGCACTCATTTCCCCATAACCCTTCTTTTAGGGGACAGTTTAAAGAAGAATACCCTCTGCTGTTGAAGGACGAAACAAAGCCGCACACAATCAAACCGTTTCGCAATTGGTCGACGTTCCCTCCCACCTGGGAGAAGGGTACAAAGTCTAATGCAAACTGAACAAGGTGTTGGAGTTTGTGACTGGTATCCCGGATGTTATATGGCCCTAAAAGCAGCTGTGATGGGCCCGATTTTGACTGAAGTTATAATGCTGGGGAATTGGGGTGTGTGTGTGTGTTATTTATTGGATTTATACCTCGCCCTACCCCAAAAATGGGCTCAGGGCGGCTCAGAACATAAAACCAACAAACAGTAAAAACAATAAATAGCAATAGTAGATACACCTGAAACCCATGCCTCATGGAATAATTACCCCCAGAAATCCCAGTGCCCACGTAATATCCAGGACAGCAGGGCACTGGGAATAGGTCATGGACAACTGCTATGGACAGGACAGGTGTCGACCCCGAGCCCCTTTTTGCCCCCTGACTGGTTGTGCACCCTCCCTTTAAACCCATTGGTGGGTTTTTTTTGTGCTGTTGTTTAAGGGGGGAGGTGGTATTTGTGGCTGGGAAATTCTTTTCTCCACCACTGATTAAAGCCAGATGTCAGAGTCCCTGGAGAAATCCGTTCCTAACAGCAGTCATTCAGAGGAATAAAAGTTTATTGAGGCATTGATAGGATCCAGACCCTGGACGGAGTCCCTGTTAGAACTACCGATGCGAAGCACTCCAGCTATACCTAAATCAAATGAGACCCTGATGGCCCTGGGCCAATCACGCTAAAGCAAAAGCCCGCATCAATTTTACACAGATAACAGTACAGTGGCTGGAAACGAAAGTTTACATTTTTCTTCGCACCCCCGTTCCCATGGCAGCCAAGCCCAAGAAAGGAGCTGGTTGACACCAGACTCTTAAGTCTGGAGATCTGAGCGTGGAGAACCAATGTGGTGTAGTGGTTGGAGTCGGTCGGTCAGCCACGTTGGTCTGAAGCAGTACAACAAATTTAGAGTCCAGTGGCCCCTTTAAGACCAGCAAAGGTTTATTCAAGGGATGAGCTTCCGTGTACACGCACACTTTATCAAATATGTTAGAAGGGCAGGCAAGGTTCAGACTTATAGCCAGAGAATGAACAGCAAATTAACATGCAACACGATGAGGACCAAGATATGCAAAGGGACACTGAATGACGAGTTAAGGTTATAGGGCCAACAGTTGTGAAGCAATAAATATGTCAGACTAGCAGATAAATGGTTAGAGGGTTAGACTAGGTTCTGGGAGAGCCAGGTTCGAATCCCGGTGCATCGGGTGACCATGTGGGCAGTCAAGCACTCTCCATCAGTGTTCCCTCCAAGCTGAGTCAGCGTGAGCTAGCCTACAGCTTTTTAGCCTCCGGCTCACACATTTTTGTCCTAGCTCAGGAAGGAGGGCTCCAGAGCAAACTAATTTATGCAGCAGCCAAATCGCTCTCTCTCACACAACTTTAAGGCCAGTGGCACACAAAGTAGAATTTTTGCTCATGAGACTCCACGGCTTAGGGGGGGAGTGCTAGTGTTCCCTCTAAGTTGAGTTAGTGTGAGCTAGCTCACAGGCTTTAGCCTCCGGCTCCCATATACTTGTCTTCGCTCAGGAAGGATGGCTCCAGAGCAAACGTAAGTTATGCAGTAGCCAAATCGTTCGCTCACAACTTTAATGCTGGTAGCTTGCAAAGTAGAATTTTTGCTCACAGGACTCCACGGCTTAGAGGGAGCCCTGCTCTCCACCTGGCCTACTTGCTGAGAGGCTAAACTGGAGGAGGAGAGGAGGTCCCCATTGAGGAGAAGGAAGGCAGTCATGGTGCAGTTGACTCAGGTGACCTGGTCCATGGGGCATTCCAGGGAAGAGAGGAATAGAAGCGGTTTGCCAGAGAGCCAGTTTGGTGTCGTGGTTAAGTGTGTGGAGTCTAATCTGGAAGAACCGGGTTTGGTTCCCCACTCCTCCACTTGCACCTGCTGATGTGACCTTGGGTCAGTCACAAGCTCTGGCACAGCTGTTCCTGAAAGAGCAGTTTCTGTCAAGAGTTCTCTCAGCCCCACCCACCTCACAGGCAGTGTTCCCTCTAAGCTGAGTTAGTGTGAGCCAGTTCACAGTTTTTTAGCCTCCGGCGGCCGGCCCACACATTTTTGTCTTAGCTCAGGAAGGAAGGCTCCAGAGCCAACTAATTTATGCAGCAGCCAAATCGCTGGCTCACAACTTGAATGCCAGTAGCTCACAATGCCAGTAGCTCACAAGACTCCGCAGCTTAGAGGGAGCATTGCTCACAGGGTGTCTGTTGTGGGGAGGGGTGGGAAAGGAGTTTGTAAGCCACTCTGAGACTCCAAGTGAAGGGTGGGGTATAAATCCAATCTCCTCCTCTTCTTCCTCTGTATAGCCTTGGGCAGTTAAAGCTACTTCTTTACTTGAGTGTCTTGCTTTCTGCTGCTTGGACCAGGGAGGCTGTATGGGCCTGGATGTCAGCCATGCATGCCTTCTCGCATGAACGATGATTCCCAGAGAGAGGGAGTCGAGGTACACTGAATTTCCCCCTCTGCAGCTGACCACATTGGGGGGGGGGGTGCCCCATCAGAATTACAGTCCCACCCTCAAGCGTGTAAAGGTGAGAGGGCATTATGGATTGTGGTGTGTTATTGCTGTTAGAAGGATGTCTACTCATGGGTTTCGAGGAACTGATCAAGAGAAGAAGAAGAAGAGATGGGATTTATACCCCACCCTTCACTACCCAAAGGAGTCTTAGAGCGGCTTTCCCTTCCCCTCCCCACAACAGACACCCTGTGAGGTAGGCGGGGCTGAGAGAGCTCTGACAGAAACTGCTCTTTTTTTCAAGGACAGCTCTTATCAGAACTACGGCTTGCCCAAGGTCATCCAACCAGGTGCAAGTGGAGGAGTGGGGAATCAAACCCAGTTCTCCCAGATTAGAGTCCGCGCACTTAACCACGACACCAAACTGGCTCTAGCAAATGTTTGCCTCTGGTTTTAATCCAGGAATGTCTTTTGCCTGAAAGGTTAAAGTGTGCCATTGAGTCTTTACCAACTCATGATGACCTCATAAAGGCGGAGGGGATTTACCATTGCTTTCCTTGGCATAGCAGCCTGTTTTCATTGGTGGTCTCCCCATCTAAGTCCTGAGTTGGCTTCTAAACTCTGGCAAGATCGGGCTAGTCTAGCTATTACAGCTACTGCAAACTTTGCCCTGGGTAGGTAGGTGCCCATTCTGAGGGAGATTGGCTTACACCAAGTTCCCAGCTTGCTACCTGCTGAATGAAAGGGGCTTGCCAAATGTACTTTAGGGAGTTCATGGGGGAGGGGTGCGAGTAGTAAAATGGTTCCCACCTATATCTTGTTACACCTGGTCCCAAGTGAGGTAATGGCTTGTGCAGTTTTATTTCAGGCCCTCTCCCAACACAGGATTTCTTTCTGCTGCTGCCTGCCACCAGATACGAATTCTTGAGATGTTTACCTCGTCTGGACCAAGACTGTTTTTTTAATCATCATCATTTTCCTCCTCCTCCTCCTTCTTTATATCTGGCCTTTCTTGCTGAAACTCAAGATTTCAAAATATGAAAAGCAATTTAAGCAGCCAGCAAGGGCCTCCGATAAAAAATGTAGTGGGACTAGTTTTCTGGAGCTGGAAAAGTGACGCAAATGAAAATCTGAGGCCTACCGTAATGAAGAAAGGGGGGGATCAAGTTAAGGCCCACCCTGCAACTTTGTCATGGATATAAGGAAAACAAAAAGACCAATGGGATGTGTTAGGGCAGCGGTTCTCAACCTGTGGGTCACAACCCCTTTGGGGGTCGAACGACCCTTTCACAGGGGTCGCCTAAGACCATCGGAAAACACAAATTTTCAATGGTCTTATGATAGCAACGAAAATAATTTTATGGCTGGGGGTCACCACAACATGAGGAACTGTATTAAAGGGTCGCGGCATTAGGAAGGTTGAGAACCACTGTGTTAGGGTATAGGTTTTTGTGAGTCAAAGCTCTCTTCATCAGATACAAAAAGAACAAGGATCCATCAGCCCTTATATCCATGTCAGAAGGTGGGAGAGGCATAAAAGGAGGGCGAGCTAGAGTCGGAATGCAGGAGTATGATGCAAAAATCCGCTTCCTTAGGGCTGGAAGATACGCACAGAGGTGGGTAAGGCAGAAAATTGTCATCTGCAATAATCCATAACCCTGTTGAGCCTGGGGTAAGGTCCATAGTCCTGAACTTGTTAAGGAATTCTAATTTGGCAATAATTCAAATCAAGACAATTGTTTTCCTGCCTTCTGTAAGTGTGGACCAAATCTGGTTTATATGTGAGCCCCCCCGAATGTTGTCAGAGAAGTAAATGTTCGTAATTGCAATCTCGGGTTTCAAAATGGGCTGGTTCTTTTCCTCAAAGCCCTGCATGGCCTGGGACCCTCTTGCTCTAACTTCCCTACCCAGTAGAAAAGAGCAAGAGTCGGGTACCACCTTAAAGACTAATTATTAGACTCTTGCTCTTTTCTGCTGCCACAGACAGACTAACAGGGCTACCCATCTTGATCTTTCCCTTCCCCAGTTGCTGTAAATTATATTTATTTATTTATTTATTTATTCAGGTATTTCTACCCCGCCCTACCCCGCAAGCGGGCTCAGGGCAGCTTACAAGGGGCATAGGCCCATACATAAAATTCAATAAAATCCGATAAAATCACAGAATACAATCAATACATACTGTTAATAGTAATACTAATAAAGTGCTTTAAGTTTTTAAGTTCCAAGATGGTCTGCAGTTGTCTCTTACAGGAAGTAACCGCTGCCAGCGCTAGTTATACTAATATAATACCGGCAGTCTTAATCCAAGCTAATCGGCTGATCTTGCCGCCATATAGTCCGTCTTGCCACCGGGCCATCAAGGGCGATCCAACTTTGATGGTATTTCCACCGTTGGTAGTGGTGGAAGGGGGGGCAGGTGCGGCGGCCCCTACATAAAGGCCTGGCGGAATTATAATAATGTCTCTCTCCACACAGTTTGTGGGTGATAAATCCTGAGAATCAGCCATGTAGTTAGGGATGCTGACGGCCTGGAGGAAAAATGTCCTTTCCCTTTTTAACACAGTTTCAACGGGCTGCTGTTTACCACGTAATATTATTTACTTCCATGCCATGAAAAGCTTCAGCTTCCCATTTATGTACACTAAACCACTATTATTGAGAGAGGACTCCCCCACCCCGGTCCATCCCTTGCTTAACTAAGGACATTAAGTCTCAAGAAGCGCTGAAGGCGAAATAAGTGATTGAAAATTCAGTTTTCTTCCAGGCCAGACCCCACAAAGATATTAAATATAAACTTTTTATTTTAAAAAATTATTTAACACTAAATAGCAGTAAGCAATATAAGCCCCCCCCCCCGAAAAACAACCCCTCCGTGCTGCCCCACCTCCCTTGGTGTCCTAAGCATGTGCTTATTTTGCTTAATGGTTACTCCAGGGCTGGGTGGGAGAAGGATGTAAGCTGGGGAGGGGATTTCCTGTGCCCTAAGAGAACTGCAAGAAGATCAAAACAGTCAGTCCTCAAAGAAATCAACCCTGACTGTTCCTTGGAAGGCCAGAGACTGAAGCTGAAGCTCAAATACTTTGGCCACCGCACCAAATGAGAAGGGAGCACTCGCTGGAGAAGAAGACCCTGATGCTGGGAAAGACTGAAGGTCAAAGAAGAAGGGGACGGCAAAGGACGAGATTGTTAGACAGTGTTCTCGAGGCAACGAACATGAAATTAAGCATACTCCAGAGCACGACGGAAGACCTGGCGTGATGTGGTCCCTGGGGTCGCGAAGAGTCGGACTCGACTGTGCGACTGAACAACAACAACAAAGAATCCGGAACAGGCGTGCTGCTGTGGAACCAACGTCTCACAGCTTCCGTTTCCTACCGGTCCCTAGAAGGACGGACAACGGCCGTGTGGGGGACCTGAGAGCGGACGGACCCATGTCTTCCCCACGTGTGAGCTGCCTGGGCAAGATGGAGCCGGTGACGGAGGAGTCGTGGGAGTCCCTGCCCGTCCAGCTGAGCCCGGGCGTCCTGCGAGCCTTGGAGGAGCTGCGCTTTTCTCTTATGACCCCGGTGCAGGTAGGACGTGGGTGGGAGATGAGAGGCGGGCGGATCTGGGGCACCGTCCGAGGAAACCTTTCCCTCTCCAGCTGCCGCCTTCCCCAGTAACTGAGATTCTCTAGACGGTATTCCGACTACTGGCCCGAAAAGTTCACAGGATAAAATAAATAGCTCTAGAATGTCAGAAAAACTCTATTGCGCCCCCCCCCCAAAAAAAAATCTGCAGGATGAAGCAGCCAACTTCCCCCGTCTAGGGTTGCCGTAGGGATGCCAACCTCCAGGTGGGACCTGGGGATCCCCCAGAATTACAGTTTATCTCCAAATAAGGGTTGCCAGCTCCGGGTTGGGAAATACCTGGAGCCTGAGAAGGGCGGGGTTTGGGGGGGGAGGGACTTCAGTGTGGGTAGAATGCCATACAGTCCGCCTTCCAAAGCAGTCCAGGTGGTCTGATCTTTGTTGCCTGGAGATCAGTTGTAATCCCAGATCCACAGCCACCACCTGGATCCTGGCAAGCCTATCTTCAGATAGACTACAGAGATCAGTTCCCCTGGGGGAAATGCCAGCTTTGCAGAGTGGACTCTATGGTATTATACCCTTCTGAGGTTCCTTCCCTCTCCAAGCTCCACCCCCAAATCTCCAGGAGTTTCCCAACCTGGATCTGGCAACCCCACCCCCCATCCCCTACTGGTTGCCGACTCCAGGAAACTCCTGGAGATTTGGGGGTGGAGCTTGGAGAGGGAAGGAACCTCAGAAGGGTATAATACCATAGAGTCCACTCTGCAAAGCTGGCATTTCCCCCAGGGGAACTGATCTCTGTGATCTGAAGATCAGCTATAATTCCAGGAGATCTCCAGGCTGCACCTGGAGCTGGCAACCCAATTCCAAGTTGAGAAATTCCTGGAGATTTGGGAGTCTGGTGGAGTCTGGAGAGGTAAGGAACCTCAGCAGGGTCTGATGCCGTGGAGTTGCCATTTTCTCCTTTGGAATTGCTCTCTGTCAGCTGGAGATGAATTGTAATTCCAGGAGAACAGTTGGAGGCTGGCAACACTAATTCAGAAGTATAATGCCCCTGACCATGTAAGTTCTATGTTACTGTTGGGGCTAATAGCCACTGTTGGAATGATTCTTCGTGCATTTGACTAATCTCCTTGTAAAGGTGCCTGACTTGGTAGCTGCTGCTACACCTTGTGGCAGTTTAGTTCCATTAACTACTTGTGCAAAGAAGTCCATTTCTTATTCTGGATGAGGAAGAAAACAATATCACTTTATTCTCCACACTGATAAGACTGCAAGGTGTAAATAAGAACGGAAATGAAACAATAACTGGTAACCCACATTGTCTATTGCAGTGATTTCTCATCCAGATGTTGATCAGATCTATACTTGCCTAGCCTCAGCAGTTCTATAGTATTGAGTGTTCCTGACCACCTCATGCTTTTAGAGAAGGGACAAACCTTTAGCGTCCTCCCCTGTACGTCTTCAGGTTTTATAAATGAGTATTCTTCCTATATGGTCCCTCTTTAGAATGGTGCCTTTCTCTCTCTCTTCCAGTCTGCAACTATTCCTTTGTTTATGACAAATAAGGACGTTGCTGCTGAAGCTGTAAGTATCTTGCTATTCCGTTAAGCTGTGATTTTGCCCTTTTGTTACATGCAGAGCTAAAGAAACTTTTCCTTGTGCCTCCTTTTCCTTCCCAGGTAACTGGCAGTGGAAAAACTTTAGCTTTTGTAATCCCTATCATAGAAATTCTTCTCCGACGGGAAGAGAAGCTCAAGAAAATGCAGGTAAAAAAATTAAACCCCCCCCCCCACTGCTCGATACTTAGAAACAGCTGGAAAATTGCCCAAGGCGATAGACAAGTGCCAACTGTTTACAATATTCATACATCCCCTTTTCAACAGAGAACCATACGTAAGGCTGTTTACAGCATAGACATGAAAACAGTGCGTGCAAAGTAGGGAAAAAACTACAACTAAATATATCAAAGCAAAGAAACAGTGAGATTCTGAAGCAAATGCCAGCGTAGCATAGTGGTTGAAGTGTTGGACTAGGATCTGGGAGCCCCAGGTTCAAATCCCCACTGGTGCCATGGAAGATTTCTGGGTAACCTTAGGCCAGTTGCACACTCTCAGTCTAACCTACCTCACAGGGTTGTTGTGAGAATAAAATGGTGGAGAGGAGAATGGTGTAAGCTGTTTTGGGTTCCCACTGGGGAAAAAGGTGGAATATATATAAAGTACGGTGAGTAGGTAGTAAAGCAGATGCCTAACCGAATAAAAGGCTCTTGCCTGTATACAAAATGAAGCCATGGAACAGCACATACAGACTTGCTGTTGAACAAATTTAAGAGTCCAGTCAGCAATGTTCCCTCTAAGCTGTGGAGTCTTGTGAGCAAAAATTCTACTTTGTGAGCTACTGGCATTAAAGTTGTGAGCGAGCGATTTGGCTACTGCATAAATTAGTTTGCTCTGGAGCCATCCTTTCTGAGCTAAGACAAAAATGTGTGAGCTGGAAGCTGAAAAACTGTGAGCTAGCTCACACTAACTCAGCTTAGAGGGAACACTGCCAGTCAGGCACCTTTAAGACCAACAAAGGTTTATTCTAGGTATGAGCTTTCGTGTGCCTGGCACACTTTTTCAAATACATTGGAATGGTAGGTAAGGTTCATGCTTCAGACCAACACGGCAGACCACCTGGATCAGACTTCTCGCTGGAAAGTTTTCCACAATTCCAGAGCAATCTCCCCCGCCAAACAAACAAACACACACACTCCATTCCCGGTAGATGACAACTTCAATTTGCAAAGGGGGAAAAAAACTCCTGACCTGGGCCTCGTGAGTAGCTCTGATGACCCAGGTGGGCCTGTAGGGGGGAAACGTGAGCCCCGTGTAGAGCTTTAAAGGTCAAAAGCAGCACATTGATTTGGAACCGTGAACCAAGCTGGTAGCCAACGCAAATAGTATAGGAAGCTGTAGCAGACTGAGAGCAGTTTTCCTTGCGAACTGTAAGGTGAAGGTTTCCCTTGCTCAAAAGCCAGTCAAATCCAACTCTAGGGTTGCGGTGCTCATCTCCGTTTCAAAGCCGAAGAGCCAGAGCTGTCCGAAGACGTTTCCGTGGTCATGTGGCTGGCATGACTAGATGCCGAGGTGCATGGAACGCTGTTCCCTTCCCACTGAAGCGGTACCTATTTATCTACTTGCAATTTCTTGCTTTCGAACTGCTAGGTTGGCAGGAGCTGGAACTAGAGATGGGAGCTCACTCCGTCATGCGGCACTTGGGTCTCGAACTGCTGAACTACCAAAGCATCTTAACCACTGAGCCACCACAGTTTCCAAATAAAGAACAGCCCCATGAAGAGCACCTTGTAGGCGTTTGATCTGGACGTCACCAAGGCATGAATGAGAGCAGCCTGGTGTTTGTGTGGATTTGATCTTGGTGCTTTTTGTTTACCCCTGTTAGGAGCCTGGGACTACTGAATGCCTCTCCTGGCCACCAGCCAGACCTTCGCCCTTGTGAGCAAACAGGAGCTGTTCCTGTAGCATTCTAGCATTTGAATACTTTTCAAGTATTTGAAGTTTTTTAACGTACCTGCATCCTGCCAACCTTGCAGTTCGAAAGCAAGAAATTGCAAGTAGATAAACAGGCACCGCTTCGGTGGGAAGGGAACAGCGTTCCGTGCGCCTCAGCGTCTAGTCACGCCGGCCACGTGACCACGGAAACATCCTTGGGCAGTGCTGGCTCTTCGGCTTGGAAACGGAGATGAGCACTGCATCCCTGGAGTTGGATTCAACTGGCTTTTGAGCAAGGGAAACTTTTACCTTTTGTACCTTTTAACATACAGGCAAGGCAAACGAAAGCTCATCCCTTGAATAAACCTTTGCTGGTCTTAAAGGTGCCCCCGGACTCTAATTTTGTTCTACTGCTTCAGACCAACACGGCTGACCATCTGGATCTATACAGGTAAGGTGACAGTGGTTTTCTGGCGAAGAGACTTCTGAGACAAACTCAGAGTTTTATCTTCTCTGCCGTTTGCTACTACCCCAGCTTTCTTACGTTCCCCTGAGGACTGCAGGAAGAAGAAGAAGAAGAGGAGGAGGAGATTGGATTTATACCCCGCCCTTCACTTGGAGTCTCAGAGCGGCTTACAAACTCCTCTCCCTTCCCCTCCCCACAACAGACACCCTGTGAGGTGGGTGGGGCTGAGAGAGCTCTGACAGGAACGGCTCTTTTTCAAGGACAGCTGTGCCAGAGCTTGTGACTGACCCAAGGTCACATCAGCAGGTGCAAGCGGAAGAGTGAGGAATCAAACCCGGTTCTCCCACATTAGAGTCCACGCACTTAACCACTACACCAAACTGGCCCAAACATTAACCACTACACCAAACCGTTTGGGCCGGAGGGTGTCAGCGACCTCAAACCACGGCCCTCCCGAAATGTTTCTCTCTCTTCTCCTGTGTGCTGTCGCAGGTGGGTGCGGTCGTCATCACGCCCACGAGGGAGCTCGCGACGCAGATCGACGAGGTGATCGCCCACTTCACAAAGTATTTCCCGCAGTTTAGGTAGGCGCGGCCCGATTGGTAAGACGTTGGGTGTGCCTCGCTAAGCTATGGAATATGTACGTAATGGCAAGAATTACAGAGAGAGTTAATGATTTCTATTCTCAAAGAACGCGATCTTATTTTTATGTGACATAGTCTCCTATATTACTGTATTTGATGCAGCAGGAAGAAATTCCCAATATTATAGATTTATTACATCTATGATAAAATAAGTAATAAAGCACCAAATGATGGTTAGGATCAATAGTTGTGTAAGATACATATGACCTATGTGGTGATCTGTTATAGTTGGAACTGTACTTTTTATTATTATTGAGATTGATGTCTCTGTAAATGTATAATTGATCTTTATGTAAATTGATTGGGGAAGTCCAATAAAACAATATATAAAAAAATAAAATCATTGTGCATAGTGAGTGTGCCTGTTTCGGTTTGCGGTGATCTGAGGTCATGTTGTGCGCTGTTCTTTTTCAGCCGGTGCCTTTTAATTGGTGGGAAGAATCCCATGGAAGATATAGAAAAATTCAAAGAACATGGGTAAGCGACGCCCGGTCGGTGCTGCAGGGCTGTAAGGCAATGGCTTTCACTTTGGGTCCTCTCTTTCTCACCCGCCTTCAATGCTCCCTCTAAGCTGTGGAGTCTTGTGAGCAAAAATTCTACTTTGTGAGCGACTGGCATTAAAGTTGTGAGTGAGCGATTTGGCTGCTGCACAGCTTAGTCTGCTCTGGAGCTATCCTTCCTGAGCGAAGACAAAAATGTGTGAGCCGGAGGCTAGAAAACTGTGAGCAGGCTCACGCTAACTCAGCTTAGAGGGAACACTGCTCTGGAGCCCCCCTTCCGGAGCGAAGACAAGAATGTGTGAGCCGGAGGCTAGAAAACTTGTGAGCAGGCTCACGCTAGCTCAGCTTAGAGGGAACATTGCTTGGAAGCTAAGCCGGGCTTGCTATGCCTTGTGACAAGGGCTAAAATGTCCTGCTGAATGTCGGGGGTGACCTTCCCCACCTGTCCGGACATCTGATTATCAGCCCTCCTTGCTATTTGAATGTACTCAGAGCTTGAGTGGTCTGCAGGCCCCGCATGTAACTGATACCGATCTCAGTAGCACTCCGACTTATTTGTATCTTGGATTGTAATTTGATTATTCATTTCCATTTGTATCCCGCCCCTTCCCCGGCAATCAGGGCTCAGGGCAGTTAATACAAATCATAAATAAAAATACAAACGTTCTATAAAATAATGTAACGCACTAGCAGACAGTTTGGGTACTCAATGTGAGTTGCTCAGTTTGGGCGCTCCCTTCTTGTTTGGAGGGTGAGTATTTCGTGTGTGCGTGTATGCCTGGAAGTCATAGTTGACTTCTGGGGACCCCTAGTGGAGCCTGGATGTTTTGCAGAGAGGTAGCTGACTGTTGCCTGCCTCTGTATCCTAGGCCTGGTATTCCTTGGAGGTCTCCCTTCCAAGTACTTGCCAGGGCCGGCCCTGCTTAGCTTCCGAGATCGGTGGACAGAGTATACGGATGGGTCAGGCAGCGCGACCGTGGTGCTGAAGGACAGCAGTGAGGAAAGGGGGGGGGGGGGGGACGTATTCATATGCTTGCTCAGAAGCACGCTGTAGTGGCCAGAGTGGGACTGTGGAGACTGTGGGGGCTTAAATTTCCACGGTGCATTTAAAAGGTCGTTCGTGACCTTGAGCCAGTCACACACTCTTGGCCTAACCTCCTTCATAAAAGTTGTTGTGAGGATAAAACAGACAGTGGTGAAGCCGGAGGAAGTGCAGGATCCTGGCCTGCCTGGAAAATGGGAAAGGTGAGTCTACAAAGGGCCTGGCAGGTATAAGTGCACCTCCAGTTCCCTTGTGCAGACTCCCTCCCCCCCAAATGTAAGAGTTGGTTTGAACCAGGGCTCTTTTTGTAGAAAAAGCCCAGCAGGAACTCATTAGCATAATAGGCCACACCCAACAGCAGAAACTCATTAGCACATTAGGCCACGCCCCTGCCAGCACAGCTCATTAGCACATTAGGACGCACCCCCATGTCACCAGAAGTGTGGTTATTCAGCCACACCCTCCTTTCGCTTGTTATTCTGTTTACCTTGTTTGTTGTCAAAACCCAGGGCCTTTTTTTGTAGCAGGAACTCCTTTGCATGTTAGGCCACACACCCCTAATGTAGCCAATCCTAATAAGTTCCTGCTGTTGGGTGTGGCCTGTTATGCTAATGAGTTCCTGCTGGGCGTGGCCAACTCGGGAGCCAGCCGGAAATCCGTTCCTGTGCGTTCCTGCCCAAAAAGAGCCCTGGTTTGAACCAATTTCTGTCCCTAGGATGTGGAGCAGTGCAGCGTCACTGGACTCCTCCTGGGCCCTAGTGCCTGCCCGGCTATTTCTGACTTTCCCCTGCTCCACATGAATAGACCTGGGATTAGTTTAATTCCCACCGAGATCCAAGAAAACAACTTCCGGCATGCTGGGGAATGCTGTGTGCTTCTTTCTTCTGTTGACTTCCGCTTTTGTTAGCCCCACATGCTTATAGCCCTGGGAAGGGTCGAGAAGCCGTGAGGTTTGGAAATGCCACTGTTTAATAAATTATAAATAAAAATAGTCCTCCTTTTTCACTTTGGGGCTTCTAGGAAGAGGTAGCAGAATTTGGGATCTGAGGGCAGAGAAGGGAGCTTTTGCCAGCAAGGTGCTGACATTTCTGAGCGTTTGGTTGTTTTAAAAAAACACAACAGCATATCTTTTCCTCTCGTCATTGTTCTCCGTTTCAAATTTCAGAAGATTGGCTTGTTCTTGGCCTCACCTGAGGTCAGGCTCTCCCGTCAAACTATCCTGAGATTGCTTCTGTTTTGTGCCCAACAGTGGAAACATCCTCGTAGCCACACCCGGGCGCTTGGTGGACATGTTCAAGAGGAAATCGGATGGGCTGGATTTGGCCAGATCCGTGAAATCCGTTGACGTCCTGGTCTTAGATGAAGCCGACCGGCTTCTGGATATGGGCTTCGAAGCCAGGTATTCCTTTTGTGAGCAGAGTAGACCTCCTATCGTTCAGACCTTGACTGGTCTGCGGGCTTTCGCGCCCCTCTTTCCGCAGAGGGACGCAGACTGGCAGTGCCCGGTCTGGAAAAACCAAACAAACCTGTCTCCAGGACCTCCCTGGGCGTGGAGACGAAAGGCCATCTCATTCTGACACTGTGTTTGCTTGCAGTTTAAATACCATTCTGGACTTTTTGCCCAAGCAGAGACGGACCGGCCTCTTCTCGGCTACTCAGACCCAAGAAGTGGAGAACCTGGTGAGGGCCGGTCTCCGGAACCCGGTCCGCATCTCAGTGAAGGAGAAGGGGGTGTTGGCGAGCAACGCCCAGAAGACCCCGACGCGGCTTCAGAACTACTACATGGTGAGGAAGGGCCGGGCTTCCCCCTCCTCTGCGTCTTGTCCTTTGTGGTGATGCTTGGCACCATGAATCTTGTTGTTGTTGTTGTTGTTGTTGTTGTTGTTATTATTATGTGCATGTGCCTGGAAGTAGCAGTTGACTTGCCTGGAAGTAGCAGTCGACTTCTGGCGACTCCTGCTGGGAGCCTGGATGTTTTTCAGAGAGGTGGCTTGTTCCGCCTGCTCTGCGTCCCGGCCCTGGTATTCCTTGGAGGTCGCCTTCCAGGCAATGCTCCCTCTAGTTTGGTGTAGTGGTTAAGTTTGGTGTCATGGTTAAAGTGCGCGGACTCTAATCTGGGAGAACCGGGTTTGATTCCCCACTCCTCCACTTGCACCTGCTGATGTGACCTTGGGTCAGTCGCAAGCTCTGGCACAGCTGTCCTTGGAAAAGAGCAGTTTGTGTCAGAGTTCTCTCAGCCCCACCCACCTCACAGGGTGTCTGTTGTGGGGAGGGGAAGGGAAAGGAGTTTGTAAGCCGCTCTGAGACTCCAAGTGAAGGGCGGGGTATAAATCCAATCTCTTCTTCTTCTTCTTCGCTAAGCTATGGAGTCCTGTGAGCAAAAATTCCACTTTGTGAGCTACTGGCATTACAGTTGTGAGCGAGCGATTTGCCTACTGCATAAATTAGTTTGCTCTGGAGCCATCCCTTCCTGAGCGAAGACAAAAATGTGTGAGCCGGAGGCTAAAAAACTGTGAGCTAGCTCACACCAACTCAGCTTAGAGGGAATGCTGCGCAACGCCATTGGAACAATAAAGTAATCAGTACATATTCAAACCCAATTTATTTGTTGTACTCAGCTTTTAGCAGAGCACCGCAGGGCTCAGGGTGGGTAACAATAGGTAATGCTCCCTCTAAGCTGTGGAGTCTTGTGAGCAAAAATTCAACTTTGTGAGCTACTGGCATTAAAGTTGTGAGCGAGCGATTTGGCTCCTGCATAAATTAGTTTGGCCTGGAGCCATCCTTCCTGAACTAAGACAAAAATGTGTGAGCCGGAGGCTACAAAACTGTGAGCTAGCTCACACCAACTCAGCTTAGAGGGAATGCTGCGCAACGCCATTGGAACAATAAAGTAATCAGTACATATTCAAACCCAATTTATTTGTTGTACTCAGCTTTTAGCAGAGCACCGCAGGGCTCAGGGTGGGTAACAATAGGTAATGCTCCCTCTAAGCTGTGGAGTCTTGTGAGCAAAAATTCAACTTTGTGAGCTACTGGCATTAAAGTTGTGAGCGAGCGATTTGGCTCCTGCATAAATTAGTTTGGCCTGGAGCCATCCTTCCTGAACTAAGACAAAAATGTGTGAGCCGGAGGCTAAAAAACCGAGAGCTAGCTCACACCAACTCAGCTTAGAGGGAGCACTGGTTGTAACCACACCCTCCTGTCAATATATACCAAGGTGAGCCCTAGAGAAGAAAGCGGGCAGCTTATCAGCCCGCACAGCAGTTAATGCCGTATATAAAGTAGGATTTTTCCCCCCCTGGATAGTGTCACTCTGCCTGCAAGAGGATCCGGGAGGGAAAGGGTTAAGAGAATTCTCTCACTGGGGAGCACCTGGCAGTGGGCTCTTACCCTCCCATCGTTAGATGCTGAGCCTCGCCTGCCTTCTGTTTAGGACCTCTCTTGTCTCTCTCTTACCTGGGCTTGGAGCTGTTGCAAGTTAACCTTTTTGGAGGTTACTGTTCACTGTACGTTAAATGCCCCTACATGAATATGTCATGTAAGATGTGCTTCTATTTTTGTAAGTAAAATTTCCTTTTCTTTTTATCATGGGGGTCAGATCATCTTTGTCATTCGTTTGAACAGCAGTTCCCCCTTAACCGGGAAATGTGGAGGATTGGGGATACTGCATAATGCTTGTGCTTCCGAGACAAGGGGTGTTTTTTTCCATTTAACCCACGATATTTTTGTGTGCTGCATGCTGCCAGGAGAGCTTCCAGTGTTCACAACGCCTGGCTGCCCATGACTTACGTTTCCTGCTTGTTGTTATATCTAAACTGTCCCCCGCCCCCTTTCTTTTTCTTAAAGATCTGTAAAGCGGATGAGAAATTCAACCAGCTGGTCCACTTCCTTCGTCACCATTTCCTTTTCTTTTTATCATGGGGGTCAGATCATCTTTGTCATTCGTTTGAACAGCAGTTTCCCCTTAACCGGAAAATGTGGAGGATCGGGGATACTGCATAACGCTTGTGCTTCCGAGACAAGGGGTGTTTTTTTTCCATTTAACCCACAATATTTTTGCTTGCTGCATGCTGCAGTGATGTTGCCAGGAGAGCTTCCAGTGTTCACAAGGCCTGGCTGCCCAGGACTTACGTTTCCTGCTTGTTGTTATATCTAAACTGTCCCCCGCCCCCTTTCTTTTTCTTAAAGATCTGTAAAGCGGATGAGAAATTCAACCAGCTGGTCCACTTCCTTCGTCACCACAAGACAGAAAAACACCTTGTCTTTTTCAGGTAATGCCTTTTCCTGGTAGAGGAACCGGTTGTGGGCGTGCCATCTGCTCGGGGCTGGATTATCTCTGTGGCACAGTTCAGTGCAGGCAAAGGACACACGTCAGCCCTAGCAAGCAGGTCGGGTGGAGGACAGATAACATTCCCTGGTCCAAGTCTTTCCCCTAAAGCACAGAAGGGGGCAACCGAGGTGATTACGGGGTTGGAGCACCTTTCCTACGACTGAAGGCTGAAGAGCCTGGGACCTCTCACTTTGGAAAACTGAGGGGGTAATGTGATCAAGTTGGGGTCTCCAACCAAACTGGAGAGCCAGTTTGGGGTAGTGGTGAAGTGCGCGGACTCTAATCTGGGAGAACCAGGTTTGATTCCCTGCTCCTCCACTTGCAGCTGCTGGATGACCTTCGGCAAACCATAGTTCTGTCAGAGCTGTCCTTGAAAGAGCTCTCTCAGCCCCACCTACCTCACAGGGTGTCTGCTGTGGGGAGGAGAAGGGAAAGGAGTTTGTAAGCCACTCTGAGACTCCGAGTGAAGGGCAGGGCATAAATCCAATCTCTTCTCTCCTCTTCTGACTTTTTTTGTGCCTGCAGGCAATTTTGGAACCTTACATAACTTGGTGGGCGCAGCCACAAAATGGTGGCCACAACTCACCTGCACAGCCAATCTCAACTCCAGGGGCCAATCAGAAGCCTCGCTGGGCAAAAGCCCTGCCTGGCCCCGCCCACTTTCCAAAAACAGTCGAGCACCGGGAAAGATGTTGGCAGGTGCCCTGGAGCCCCTGGGCACCAGGTTAGGGACCCCCGTGATAGAGGCTTACAATATTATGCATGGGGTGGAGGAAGTCGACTGGAGGCTGTGACAAAGGTTCTGCAGCGATTGCGGATGCGTTGTTTTGAGGCCTGCATATTAATACTTAATAACAAATATTAATTTATGCTGCTGCTAGCGGAGCTCCTGAACATAAGAACATAAGAGAAGCCAGGGCTATTTTGGGGCAGGAACTCACAGGAACGGAGTTCCGGCTAGCTCCGAAGTTGGCCACGCCCAGCAGGAACTCATTAGCATAATAGGCCACACCCAACAGCAGAAACTCCTTAGGATTGGCTACATTAGGGGGGCCTAACATGCAAAGGAGTTCCTGCTACAGAAAAGCCCTGGGTTTTGACAACAAACAATGTAAACAGAATAACAAGTAAAAGGTGGGTGTGGCTGGATAACCACACTTCTGGTAACATGGGGGTGTGGCCTAATATGTTAATGTGCTGTCAGGGGCATGTCCTAATATGCTAATGAGTTCCTGCTGTTGGGTGTGGCCTATTATGCTAATGAGTTTCTGCTGGGCTTTTTCTACAAAAAGAGCCCTGAGAGAAGCCAATGTTGGATCAGGCCAATGGCCCATCTAGTCCAACACTCTGGTTCACACAGTGGCCAGAAACACCAGGTGCCATCAGGAGGTCCAGCAGTGGGGCCAGGATACCAGAAGCCCCTCCCACTGTAGAACAGGGAGGAGTTCTCTCCCCCAACATTCCCTCTAAGCTGTGGAGTCCTGTGAGCAAAAATTCTACTTGGTGAGCTCCTGGCATTAAAGTTGTGAGCGAGCGATTTGGCCGCTGCATAAATGAGTTTGCTCTGGAGCCATCCTTCCTGAGCTAAGGCAAGAATGTGTGAGCCGGAGGCTAGAAAACTGTGAGCTAGCTCGCACTAACTCAGATTAAGGGGAACACTGCTCCCACCCACGTTATTTTATATCCCAAATCCCAGCAGCTGAGAATTCAGCCTCCCTCTCTATCATATGCAGGATCCGATTCCTGACCAGTGTTCCCTCTAAGCTGAGTTAGTGTGAGCCAGCTCCCAGTTCTTTAGCCTCTGGCTCACACATTTTTGTCTTCGCTCAGGAAGGAGGGCTCCAGAGCAAACTAACTCATGCAAGCAGCCAAATTGCTCGCTCACAACTTTAATGCCAGGAGCTCACCAAGTAGAATTTTTGCTCACAGGACTCCACAGCTTAGAGGGAGCCTTGATCCTGACTGAGGACATTTTTGCCTTTGTTTGAGCTGCAGACTCTGACCCCTCCCCCATAGCAGGCCTGATTAGAGTGTGTGGGGGGGGCTTCTCCCTCCTCCCCCCATGCCGTCCCCCCAACTTCAGACAGTCCCCCCGGGCCTGTGATTTGCCCTCTTTGGGGAATCATGCAAACTGCTGGTATTTTGCCTGTGTGTTTTTCCCCTACTCCACAAACAGAGGAGTCCCAGTTGGCTGCTTGAAAGTGGTGTGTCTGTGTGTGTCGAAGGGGGTGTTTAAACCGCTTCACCCACCCGCCCGCCCCAGGGTTGCTGTGGCCCTGATGCACATCAGGAGTCCTGTGGTTGCAGCTTACCAATGAAAGTCACTCTCCCGGTATCTCCTTCCACGATTCTTTTGATTCCAGCCTGTTGATAACATAACAAAGAAGATTAAACCGTGGCGGACGGACGAATAATGATTATGAAATTATTAAAAATGCATTTGTCAAGTGATCGTTATTCGTTAGTCCGTCACGGTTTAATCTTCTTTGTTATCGATTGTTTCCGTGATTCTTCTCTTTGTTTGTTTGTTTGAGTCTCCCTCTGTTGGGCTGTGTTGATAACCTAAAACGGAGACCCGCGAGAGCTGACGTTTTGGCGGTGTGTTTTACGCCTGCAGTACGTGTGCTTGTGTGGAGTATTACGGGAAGGCCCTGGAATCTCTGGTTAAGAATGCGACCATAATGTGCATCCACGGGAAAATGAAGCACAAGCGGAACAGGATCTTCACGGAATTCCGGGCCCTCCCAAGGTGAGGGGGGACCGGCGGGCGTGGTCTGTGGGGTGCTTTTGGTTCACGCAGGAGCAGTAATGAGACTAAATAGGTTGGGCGAGAGAGCCATGTGAACCCCTGGACCCTTTTGAACCTGTGGCCGCTTTATGACTTCTGACCAGGGTGCTGGGCGCCAATGCTCCCTCTAAGCTGTGGAGTCTTGTGAGGAAAAATTCTACTTTGTGAGCCGCTGGCATTAGAGTTGTGAGCAAGTGATTTGGCTACGGCATAAATTAGTTGGCTCTGGAACCATCCCTTCCTGAGCTGAGACAAATATGTGTGAGCCAGGGGCTAAAAAACGGTGAGTTAGCTCACACTAACTCGGCTTAGAGGGAACACCGCTGGGCGCAGTCACAAAATGGCTGCCACAGAGGGCAGAGGAAGCCACAAGGTATCAGGGAGCAAGGTTATGCAGGGCTCCGATAATAGCTGTTCACCATTTCAGGCAGAAGTTCTGTTTGTGAACAGAGCCAGCGTGGTGTAGTGGTTAAGAGTGGTGGATTCTAATCTGGAGAACTGGGTTTGATTCCTCACTCCTCCTCCACATGAAGCCGGCTGGGTGACCTTTGGCCAGTCACCATTAGAGATGTAAAATTTCCGGAAATTTTGAAGCTCGGAAAAAACCCCGTTTTCCCCCGTTTTTTCCCGGAAAAAAAACGGAAATGTTCGGAAACATTGAAAAAAATGCTACATTAGCATTTCTTTTGTCTTTTCTAATTTGAAAGTCATTCTGTTACTTTAGGAACATAAAATATGACTATGGACATTTTTACTTGGCGTGAAATTATCACAACTAGCATATTAAAAATATAGTGTATCCAAACAATTATTACAGAATACCCACCCACATGCAAAAACAAAACTGAAACTTTTTTATTTTCTTCTGACAATCGCATCTCCTAAAGGAAGAAATGCATCTTGTTCTTGCATTGGAGAGTTCAGTTTGTAACCTAGGACTTGCTTGTCCTCAGTGCACAGAAATTACATCGATTCCATATATATATTAGAAATGATTTGGAAAATATTTGCACACCTTGTCTTAAAATATTTTATTCATCATGTTAAAATAAAACGTTCCATAATCAATTTTTTTTCTTTTCTTTTCTTTTTTCAATTTTTCCAATTTTTCGGAAAAAAAACAAAAAGGCTTCAAGGAAAAAAGGGGGGGGAAACGTTTTTCCCCCCGAATTTTTCCAGGCCTTCACATCTCTAGTCACCATTCTCTCAGAACTCTCTCCAGAGAGCAGTTGTCAGCTGGCCAATAATGTGGGAGGGATGGTATAGAGTCTGAGAAGCGCTTGTGTCTTAAGGCAACGACCTCTGTCCTTACTCAAAATATGCAGGTCTTGCCTTTCCCCGTGGCTCAAGGCGGCTCCTTAACGTTGCGATTTCTCTCTGTTTCCTAGCGGCATCCTGGTCTGTACCGACGTGATGGCCCGGGGCATCGACATTCCAGAAGTGAACTGGGTTTTGCAGTACGATCCCCCGAGCAATGCAAGGTATGCATCCTTTCTCTTAACTGGTGTAGTGGTTAAGAGTGGCGGGTTCTAATGTGAAGAACTGGGTTTGATTCCCCACTCCTCCTCCAGAGGAAGCCCGCTGGGTGACCTTGGGTCAGTCACAGTTCTGTCAGAGCTCTCTCAGCCCCACCTACCTCACAAGGTGTCTGTTGTGGGGAGAGGAAGGAAAGGCGGTTGTAAAGTGCTCCAAGACTCCTTCGGTAGTGAAGAGCAGGGTACAAAACCAACTCTTCTTCATCTTCTTAAGACTGGATCTAATCGTTGATCTGCTGAGAACTTTATGAATTGAAATCAAGTTCAAGTTCAAAACCTTTATTGGCATAGAGAATTAAAAGCACATAGACATGGAGGCTTCCTAAATCATCATGTGTAGGGCATACGCAGTTCACATTGAGAGCCAGTTTGGTGTAGTGGTTAGGAGCATGGACGTTAATCTGTCTTGATTCCCCCCTCCTCCATATGCAGCTGCTGGTGTGACCTTGGGTCAGTCACAAGTTCTCTCAGAGCTGTTCTCTCAAGGGCAGTCCTCGAGAGAGCTCTCTCAGCCCCACCTACCTCCCAGGGCATCTGTTGTGGGGAGCGGAAGGGAAAGGAGATGTAAGCTGCTCTGAGACTCCTTCGGGTAGCGAAGGGCAGGGCATAAATCCAATCTCTTCTTCTTCTCCAGTATCTGGGTTTACAGGTGAGAGGTGCCAAGCCCCCAGCATTTCAGATATTAGGGAAACGACTCTTCCTTCTCTCTCCCTGATACTCTGGAGAGCTGCTTCCCCACACAGTGTTTAGCTGGGTGCACCAATTCTCTGACTCTGAATACGGCAGCTTAGTATGTTTACCCTCTCTAGCAGTCTGTGTCACTTGAAAAATCTTCCTCATGCTAAGTTGTGTTCCCCCCACATTTTCAGCGCCTTTGTACATCGCTGTGGCCGCACCGCCCGCATTGGCCACATGGGCAGCGCCCTTGTGTTTTTGCTTCCCATGGAAGAGGCCTACGTCAGTTTCCTGTCAATTAACCAAAAGGTGAGTGGACTGTTTGCTCTAAAGGAGGGGTGCAGCCCAGTTTCTATCTGGAATCTAACTTCTGGGTCTATTAGAGCGACCATCTAAGAAGAGAGAATGGACTGTTTCAGCTCCTCCTGCTAGGAGAAGTTGCATCCGTACAGATTCTCTTTTCTATGTGGGAGAAAACTTTGGCCTGTAAAAATGCCCCTTGCAAAATATCTTTCCGGGTTAAAATGAATGCATGGGTCACGTTTCCGCTAGCTGCACGAAGATGAACAAATGTGTTTCAGGAATCTGACGCTTCATCTCCCTCCATAGTGTCCTATGCAGGAAATGGAACTGCAGAAGAACGTGGCAGATGTCCTGCCCAAACTGAAGTCTCTGAACATGGCCGACCGAGCGATGTATGAGAAAGGGATGAGGGCGTTTGTATCATGCGTGCAGGCCTACGTCAAGCACGAATGCAGTCTCATCTTCCGGATCAAAGGTAATTCACACCCGCAGCCTGTGTGTTTCTGGGGGGGGGGGGAGGTTTAAAATCTGTCCCCTGGCAGAGACCAGATTTCAAGGGCAGCTGGGAGGTTGCACCCTCTTCCTTCGGGTGTGAGGAAGCCTAACTTGGCACTGCTGGCAGTGTACCCCGCCCCCAAGCAGCTCCACTGTGTGCCCGTTAAACTCCTGTGCCCGTTAAACTCCTTTCCTGGGGGGCAGTGGTGGTGAAAAACGCCGTCAATTTGCAGCCGACGTATGGCTTCCCTGTAGGGTTTTCAGGGCAAGAGGTGAACAGAGATGGCTTGCCCTTGCCTGCCTCCATGTCTCAACCTTGGACTTCCTTGGCGGTCTCCCATCCAAGGACTAACCAGGGCTGACCCTGCTTAGCTTCCGAGATCTGACGAGAATGGGCTAGCCGGGGCCATCGAGGTCACAGCTGTCTTTTCTAGCAGTGTTAAACTGGTTTCCCTCTGTTTTCCTTTTGTTGTTTGCTCGTCTAATATTTATTTATTTATTCATTGTTTCAACTTGATATACCGCCCTAACCCCCATAGGGGTCTCTGGGCGGTTTACATTTTTGGGTGCTAGTCACATATTTGAACCTAACTACGGCCACATCAGTTCAATGCAAGGGGCTGCCTACGATTGTAAGAAAAGCCCTTTCACTTCATTAGCCACCACTCAATGTTCTTTACTTATACTGAACCTTTCTCTACATTGGGGAACCCAAAGTGACTTACGACATTCTTCTCTCTACCTTATCTTCACAACAGCCCTGGGAGGTAGACTGGCAGAGAGAGAAGGTCTGGTTCAAGGTCTCCCACTGAGCTTCTGTGGTAGCAAGGGGATTCAAACATGGGTTTCCTGGTTCCTAGCCTGACACTCTAACCTCTACACCATGCTTGTGGCGACAAGTTGGTGACTAAGAAGAAGAAGAAGAAGAGATTGGATTTATACCCCGCCCTTCACTTGGAGTCTCAGAGCAGCTTACAAACTCCTTTCCCTTCCCCTCCCCACAACAGACTAAAGGGGAACCTCCACGTTCAGAGGGGGTCAGCCTCTGAATCCGTGCCAGAAGCCAACGCCGGAGAAGGTCTTGGCCTCTGTGCGCTGTTGTTGGCCCTTCAGTGTAATTGGTTGGCTGCTGTGTTAGGCAAGATTAGGGATGTGTATTCGGTTGTTGTTGTATTTTTCATATGTGCACGGGTGTAAGTGCGTGTGTGCACCTGGAAGTCACGGCGACCTCTGGTGACTGACCCCTACTGGGGGATTGGAGGATATTCAGAGAGGTGGCAGAATAAAACCTGCCCCCAACTCCTGACTGCCGGTATTCCTTGGAGGTCTCCCATCCAAGCACTTGCCAGAGTCAACCCTGCTTAGCTTCCGAGATCGGGATCGGGCTTGCCTGGGCGATCCAGGTCAGGGCCAGACCCTCATTTTCTGTATGAAAAAGGCTTTAGTCATTTTATTTCATTTTTAGAATATTTATCTCCCGCCTCTCTGTTTAAAGTAAATGCTCAGAGGGCAAGGCCTTCGTGGAGAGCCGGCCCCTCGTTCTTGGGGGCCATCTCGAAATACTAGTGGATTCTGCTGTTCACGGGACGTTTGCTACCGAACGGCACCTGTGCTTTAGCCCTGTTCAGCTATCTCATTTTTCTCTTTGGGCAGACCTGGACTTCGCCAGCCTGGCTCGAGGCTTTGCCTTGCTGAAGATGCCCAGGATGCCGGAGCTGAGAGGCAAGACTTTCCCAGACTTTGAGCCTGTGGATATTGACACGGACTCGATCGCGTTCAGAGACAAGAACCGGGAGAAGCAGAGGCAGAAACTGCTGGCGCAGCCGAGGGAGGAGCCGGAAGGGAGGAGGAAAGGCGCCAGGAATCAGGCCTGGTCCAAGCAGAAGGCGAAGAAGGAGAGGAAGAGAAAACTGAAGGCTAAGCGGCAGAGAGAGGAGGTGAGCAGCCCTCCCCTTCACGGGGGTGATGCACGAGTCCCAGCCAGTGCTCTCTCTAAGCTGTGGAGTCTGGTGAGCAAAAAATCTACTTCATGAGCTACTGGAATGAAAGCTGTGAGCGGACGATTTGGCTGCTGCATAAATTGGTTTGCTCTTCTGGAGCCATCCTTCCTGAGCCAAGACAAGAATGTGTGAGCCGGATGCTAAAAAACCCCGTGAGGTAGCTCACACTAACTCAGCTTAGAGTGAACACTGGTCCCAGCAAGGTGTCGGCTCAGCGGGGACTTGCTTTATTACCTCCTGGACCCTGTCCTTCCTCAAAGGGAGGGGAAGGGAAAGGAGTTTGTAAGCCGCTCTGAGACTCCTTTGAGTAGTGAAGGGCGGGGTATAAATCCAATCTCCTCCTCCTCCCCCCCTCCCCCCCACATGGTTGCAGTTGTCTATCGTAGGACCAATAGCTAAAGGCAAGTGGGTAGCTGTACTGAGTATAAGAATGTAAGAGAATACATGTTGGATCAGGCCAGTGGCCTATCCAATCCAACACTCTGTGTCACATAGTGGCTGAAACCCAGGTGCCATCAGGAGGTCCACCAGAAGCCCTCCCACTGCTGCCCCCCGGGCACCAAGTAGACAGAGCATCACTGCCCCGGCCATCTGTACCTTGTGGCTAATACCCACTGATGGACCTCTGCTTCATATGTTTCTCCAATTCCCTCTTGAAGCCGTCCATGCTTGTAGCTGGCTGCCACCACCTCCTGTGGCAGTGAATTCCATGTGTTAATCACTCTCTGGGTGAAGAAGGACTTCCTTTTATCTGTTCTAAGCCTACTGCTCATTAATTTCGTTGAGTGCCCACAAGTTCTTGCATTGTGAGAAAGGGAGGGAAGTGCTTCTTTCTCCACCTTCTCTATCCCAGGAATAATTTTGTAAACCTCGATCACGTCACCCCTCAGTCATCGTTTCTGCAAGCTAAAGGGCCTCGACCTCTTTCACCTTTCTTCATAGGGACGGTGTTCTGCCCCCTTAATCATCTCAGTTGCCCTTTTCTGCACTACTGAATTCTCCCCCCCCCCCTTTGCAGGGTTCAGATGTGGACGAGAAGGACATGGAGGAGCTCTTGAATGACACCCGCCTCTTGAAGAAGCTAAAGAAGGGTAAGATCAGCGAGGAAGAATTCGAGAAGAAACTGCTGCAGAGTGAGAAGAAAGCTCGGACTGACGCAGCCGCTGGCTCAGAGTCTGAAGGATGAAGAAAGGGTCTGCGATCGAGCCCCTCGGACAGACAGAGTCCCTTACTTTGAGATGGGTTTCTAATGCCCCAGTCTGGATTCCTGTTTTGTTCTTTCCGTTGCTCAGCTCACGCCTAAGCAAGAGGACATTCCCCTGTGTTGGAAGAATTTCCTTGCTTTCCCTCCTGCCTAGGTCTGTTTTTGGCTACCGGCCCATTGAGTTTGTGCCTCTCTGCCTTTGCCATCCACCTACCACTGCCACCACCATTCACCACAGGAGACCAGAGTTCACAGATAGAGTTTAATGAGTTCGTCACTCACGGCAGACGGGGTCAGGACCCCAAGATCGGTGAAGAGGAGGGTGATCAGAGACGGGGAGGTGTAGTCCACAAAGGGGTGCTCTGCCGTTAGGTCCTCGCTTTTCTTCAGGGTGTCTGCTTTGTACTGGGGAAGGAAAGAGAGTCGCTGATTAGGGACGGCATTTTCATCCAAGGCAGTGCCGTGACCCAGAGTGGGACCGTGGCAGCCGCTGGAGGGAACACTGCCGAGGCGGTTCCCGTCTCCTTCGAGGCAGGCGAGAGGCCTTGACCAATCCCATCATGCTCCGGGTTGCGGAACAGATGGTCACGTGTGACTGGATTGCTGAAATACAAGTCTGCCCTCTCCAGGAAATGTGTCAAGGCCTGGTTTACGGTATGAATGTATGTCCTGAAGGACCCTAGTTATCTGTGTACTTGTAGAGGCGGTCACCTAATTTAAGTCTGCCACAGCAAGTTTGGTATGTCATTTTCGTGGCTCTGGATAAATGTACTAGAAATGAGTTTGTTACGATTTGTCCAATTATTCCCACTGAAAACATGCACCAGCAGGATGCGCGGTCTCTCTCACCCTTCTTTCAAGGAGCCGATGAAAGCAAGAGTAGGTCCCCTTTCCCCATTTTATCCTACATTATTATTATTATTATTGTATGGCACTGTGTGTAGAGTAGCCAGGAGCAGTGTTCCCTCTATGCTGAGTTAGTGTGACCTGGCTCACAGTATTTTAGCCTCCGGCTCACACATTTTTGCCTTAGCTCAGGAAGGAGGGCTCCAGAGAAAACTAATTGATGCAGTAGCCAAATCACTTGCTCACAACTTTAATGCCAGTCGCTCACAAAGTAGGATTTTTGCACACAAAACTCCACAGCTTAGAGGGAACATTGGCCAGGAGAGCCTAAGATTGTCTGGCATCGATAAGTTCTAGCTCCTTTTAGCATTGTGCACCACTGGGTGGCGAGCTAGACGTGCTTTTAGGGCAATAGATGTTTCAGAGGTGGTTTGCCATTGCCTGCCTCTGTGTCCCACCCCTGGTATAGCCACGGCCGACCTTACTTAGCTTCCAAGATGTGACAGGGTTGGGCTAGCCTAGGTCAGTGGTGGCGAACCTATGGCATGGGTGTCAGAGGTGGCACTCAAAGCCCTCTCTGTGGGTGCGCGTGCCATCGCCCCAGCCAGGCCCAGACCATCATTAAAGTGTCGAATTCTCTGCCAAATAATTTTAAGTAAATGAAAGCATTTGGGACTGCTTTCCTTACTTTGTTTGGATCATCTTAAGTGAATGTATGGGTTGTTAACCTCAGTATTCAGGTTCAATTGCCGTGTTGGCACTTTGCAATAAATAAGTGGGTTTTGGGTCGCAGTTTGGGCACTCGGTCTCTAAAAGGTTCGCCATCACTGGCCTAGGTTGTCCCTTCTTATCCACAAACCAACCCTGTTAGGTACGTTAAGTTGAGAGAATCTGCCCTCATAGGTAAATGGGGATTTGAATCCAGGCCTCCCTAGTCCTCCTTGAACACTCTGGGCTGCTCCACCGCACTATCGCGCTCCCTTCCACTCCTTCCCCAGCGGGAGAGCAATGAATAGTTACGGCTTCAAAAAATGCAGAGAGCTCCAAACCACAACTCAGCAAGGAAAAGTAGGGCCAAGACCATCCTCCGCTGCCTCCTCCTGCTTCAGGCGGAGCCCGTCTGGTGCCACACCAAGGTGCTGTAGAATTTAGGCTGGCTTCCCTTTCTTTTTGACACTTGGGAAGAATGCGTGTGTGGGGGGGAAGTGCCAGCAGCCCCGGGGCTTCATAAACACCTCCCTCCTCTGGGTTATACCCTTACAGTTTGCTTAAGAATGTAAGAAGAGCCCTGCTGGATCAGACCAGTGGTCCATCTAGTCCAGCATCCTGTCTCACACAGCAGCCAGCCAGTTCCTCTGGAGGGCCAACGACAGGGCAGAGAGCCCGAGGCCTTCCCTTGAGAAGAACATGAGAAGAGCCCAGCTGGATCAGACCAGTGGTCCATCTAGTCCAGCATCCTGTCTCACACAGTGGCCAACAAGTTCCTCTGGAAGGCCAAAAACAAGGCATTCCTCTGGAAGGCCAAAAACAAGGCATTCCTCTGGAAGGCCAAAAACAAGGCATTCCTCTGGAAGGCCAAAAACAAGGCATTCCTCTGGAAGGCCAAAAACAAGGCATTCCTCTGGAAGGCCAAAAACAAGGCATTCCTCTGGAAGGCCAAAAACAAGGCCTTCCCCTGAGAAGAACATCAGAGGAGCCCCACTGGTTCAGACCAGTGGTCCATCTAGTCCAGCATCCTGTCTCACACAGCGGCCAACCGGTTCCTCTGGAGGCCCAATAACAGGGCAGAGAGGCCGAGGCCTTCCCCTGATGTTGTCTCCTGGCTCTAGGTTCAGTGGATTAGTGCTGTAAGCTTGTGGTTAAAAGCAGAGCCTGGCCCACTACATTGCTCGGAGGTTTCTACTCGATTTCAAAGAACTAAGAACGATTCCCGTCGTCCCCAGCCCTCACCTTAAATCTATCAGGGACATCTTGCTGGTTCAGAGGGAAGAGTCTTACGAACTTGAAGCTCTCGGCAACCACGTAGAAGGGCTTGTTCTGGGCCTTGGCACACACTGCCATTTGATTGGTCCCAATCTGCAGCAAGAAGAAAACGACATGTATGGTTAAGCCAAAGTTCTGAGCAGTACTATTCTCTGTGGATTCTTTTTAAGGGGCCAATGAGAAAGATTGGGCCAAACTCCACACGTGGTCCTGTGGATTTTAGTTGTGGAGACGGTGGCTTGTGCTTCTTACCAGGGGTCATTTCGTAGAAAAAGAGGTGCAGGAGCTCATTAGCATAACTCATTAGCATGATTTATTTACATATGCCACACCCCCTGACATCACCGGAAGTGTGTCAGAAGGCCACATCCACCGCTCAGGCTCCACTGGACTGTTTTGGATTGCTAGCTATTGGGGGGGGGGGGGATTGTGCAGTTCTGCCCCCAAG